AGGCTGCCCAGGGAGGGGGTGGAGTCCCCATCCCTGGCTGTGTTTAAGGGCCGTTTAGATGCAGTGCTGAGGGACATGGTGTAGGGGAGGACTTTGTAGAGTAGGGGAGATGGTTGGACTCGATGATCCCAAGGGTCTCTTCCAACCTCAATGATTCTATGATTCTATGAAAACCGGTGGGTTGAGATAAAGAGGGTTTAATAAGTAAAGCAAAAGCCGCGCACAAGCAAAGCGAAGGGAGGGCTCCGTGCCCTGCCCCCCGTGGCGGGGGGGGTTCAGCCGTCCCCAGGAACACCGGGCTCCATCCCGCCAGCGGGGCCTTGGGGAGACAAACGCCATCGCTCCCGACGGCCCCCCTTCTTTCTCCTTCCCCAGCTTTGTGCCCCGAGCACGACGGCACGTGGTGGGAACATCCCTGTGGTCAGTCCCGGCCGTGTCCCCTTCTGGCCCCTGGTGCCCCCCAGCCCATCGCTGTTGGGGGGTGAGGAGCAGGAATGGCCTCGTGAGCTCAGCGACACCGGAGCCACCGCTGCGCCGTCACGCTGTCCCCGTCCCCAGGCCACAGCACCGGCCACTGTCCGGGGCCACCACCGGCCCAGCTGAAGCCATGACCGTGGGCAGGGGAGCGGGCCCAGCCCTGCGATGGCTGACCCCGGCGTGGGGAGCCCCTGCAGGGTCCCTGCCCACAGCTTACCGGGTGGTTCCTTTGAGCTCATACGTATTTTTCCCTGCCTGCTGGGCTGTTCCCGTTCCCCTGCAGCCCCACAGGATCCCTCGTGGCTGCACTGGGTCCAGTGAGGCACCGTCAGCCGCAGTGCTTCAGAGGTGCTTAGCAAACGGACCCTCTCTTCTCATTTGACGCTTGAATCAGAAACTTAATTAAAAGTCCTTCACCATGCTGCCTGGATTGGGAGGTCTGGATTAGCCTATGCCGTATTGTGTGCGTTGATTATGCCAAGGGCTCTCGGGGGGCAGGAGAGTGGGGTGGGAGCTACTTGACGGCGTACCCGATGATGTGGGGCTTGATGGGGGTGCAGGCCAGCTCCACGCTTGTGTGCCGCAGGCTCAGCTCCGAGAACTTGGCCTGTTCAAGATTCTTCCAGGTCTCCCTCTGTAGGCAGCACCCAGCAAAGATGAGTTTCCAAGTCGGGTAACAGACCTGCTGCCAAAAGTACCTCCAGCTGGAACGGTCAGCGGCCACGTGCTCCAAGAAATAGAAAGCGCCTCCCTGGGGAAAAACAAAGTCCTTTTACAGAGCAGGCGCCAGGGCCAGGCTGAACCTCTGCCCCCATCCCACCTCCCCTCCAGTACAGACCAGTGCCCACGCCAGTCCCTTGTCCAGCAGGATTCTCCCACCCATTCCCGGCTGTTGTGGTGTCTGCTGGAATTAGTGTAAGCAGGAAACACGCTGTTCAAAAAGCGTGAAGGGTGTATTTATTTGATCCCTCTTTCATTATGGCAATAGTTTTGTTGTCTTTTTGTTTCATGTCTTTTTTTTTTTTTGGAAGGAAACTAAGAGAAAGGTATAAATTTTACTCAGCACTTTTTGACAACCCAGAGGATTGTCTTGAAAATGCCGCTTTAAAGGCTGAAAGTCGATTGCAAAAATAGCCCAACAAAACAGCTGGCTTTAATCTTTAACTTGATTAGTATAGGACAGGTAATGAGGCATTTAATGAGACTTTTTCAGCCACACAGGTAGATCCACTTCAGCCACTTCTAAGAGGCTAAAGCAGTTTATTTAAAATGCAGATTTTCACTCTTGATCAGAGAGCTTCCCACCAATAAAACCCGGTGTGTAGGGGGAGAGACAGCACCGGATGAACCAGTTCTGCTTTAAATGATAAACCATAATTACTTAGAAAATTAGTGGCAGTTCTAGTTACCAGACTATGTGACTTTTAGGATTTTACTTTTAAGTCCAGGACGGACTGACCAGTGTCTTGCTCCTGCTTTGCACCCTCTAGGAGTGCAGGGCGGTTGTGGGGGAGATAAACTGGGTCTGGTTTGGGAGCTCAAAAACAACTTTTTTTCTTTTTTTTTTTCTTATCTCATGGTGCAGTGCCTCTGGAACAGATGATAAAGGTAACAATGGAGCTTTTTATTCGGATACTCACCGGTCGGAGCACTCGCTGGACCTCCCTCAGGGTGCCGTTCACGTCCTGCACGGAGCAGAGGACCAGGGTGCAGACGACGGCGTCCATGGACCCGCTGGGCACCTGGTGCAGGTCTTCTGCTGCAGCCACGAGGAACCGCTCGTACTGGACGTGCTGGTTCTTGCTCATGCTTCTGGAGAGGCCCTGCTGGAAGTTGGGGTTGATGTCGGTGCAGGTAACTCTGCAGCCTGGTGGGTAGAACTGGAAGTTGGGGCCGCAGCCAGTGCCGATCTCCAGCAGCTTCAGCTCCCCTGAGGGGCTCCTGAAATCGGGGAGGTTGCTGAATAGCTCCTGCTTCTGCTTCTTCACTTTCTTTTCGTGAACTGCAGAAAGCTTCTCTAAGAAGAAAGGGAAAAATATCTTCTTGCAGAAGGGCTCCCATATGCCCAGGAAGGAGAGCAGGTAGATGGGCATGGCCAGCAGCGCCAGGCAGGCGCGGAGCAGGAGGATGCTGGGCTCTGACATTTCCAGCGTGGGGCAGAGGAGCCGTACTGGGCAAAACTAGTTCTTCTGCCTGTTAGAGCCCTTGAAATTCAGAGAGAGCAGGATTCATGCGCTTGCTGCCTTCCTCCCGGGGTGCATTCAGCTCCTTGGAATGATCTGGTAGAGTTTTCTCTAAAGCTGATTTTAAAGTCCGGTCACGGGCAGGGACGAGTGTGTCCCAGAGAGCGTCCCAGCTCTGCCAGAGGAGGAGCCGCCGGGCTGTTACGAACCCTGGGTAAAATGGGCAGTGCAACCCCTGGCAAAATGTCATAACCTGCCCTAATTTGGTGTTTGAGCAGCTTCAGGTTACAGGTCACATCCCTTAAAGCCCTGGAATGTTGACTTTAGCGAGCTGAAGGAAATTAATCTAAGCTCTGGATCTGCTGGAGGTGTTTCACTGGGGGGAGTTCAATGAATGTTTCAGTTAAAAGGCATTTGTTTCAGAGTTAGTTTTCCACCCCGTCGTAAGTGGCTGGATGAGCTGATCAGCTGCTTGCTGTGTGCTCTCTCTGCAACAGCAGTTTTCAGTTGTTCCCCTTTGTGGGCACCCGAAACCCGTGGGTGTGTGTGCAGGGGTGCCTCTGCGGTGACGGAGCGTCCGTGGTGATCTCCAGCCCTCTGAGGCTCATGGAACGGAGATATAAAGTGATTTATTAGTCCAGTAACTGTCACATACAGTTTGGTTTTATTGGCTTGGTTTTATTGGCTTGGTTTTATTACTCACTTCAATAGCTGGAGTCACCGATTTCAGACAATGCTAAATGCATTCTGGAAAACTTTTTCAACTTTGCTCCAAAGGGCTGGGCAGCGGCGTCCCTCGGCCACGGGCACCGAGTCGCTCGGCTCCGGGTGAGCCTGGGCAAGGACGGGAGGACTTGAGATCTGTGGGGACATGGAGGGAACATTCTGGGAGTCCAGAGAAGGGCAGAGGAACAGGACACCAGTGGGGTGATTGGGAGGGACAAATTAGGGATCAGAGGGACCTCAGGGAGGGGTGTAGGGTATTGGGGGGGGTCTGAAAGGGGGTTGTAACAAGGGGAGATTGGTCTCTTCTCTCAAGGACCAGGCGATGGGACAAGAGGACACAGTCTCAAGTTGCATAAGGGGATGTTTAGGATGGATATTAGGAAAAATGTCTTCACCAAAAGGGTTGTGTCAGCCATTGGAAGAGGCTGCCCATGGCGGTGCTGGAGTCGCCATCCCTGGAGGGGTTGAGAAGCCCGGCAGACATGGTGCTAAGGAACATGGTGGGTTCTATAGGTGTGTCCCCGCCCCAGGCACCCCTTCCCCCTCTCCCCACACACAGTCCCATCAGCGCTGGTTGCTCCCACCGGGCCCGTCTGGAGGGGCGCCTGCGGGGAGGACCCGCTTCTTTCCTCTTACCCACAAAAAGGCAGCGGGACCCACGCTTATGGGGCGAGCCCCATAGATCCGATACGGGGCAGGGCTCAAGTCTCTGGGGAGGGCCCCATAGATACGGGGCGGTGACGCCCCAGTGAGGGGGCGCGGACGTCGCCCCGCCCACCCGCTGCCACCTGGCCCCGCCCCTCCC